GGGGGGGGGGGGGCGCTGGTTATTAGGATGACGGGCCCTGGGACTTGCTCAAGGACAGACAGGAAGCTTGAGTGCACACTTCTCATTATTTATTAATAAGTTATTCCTAATGTGTTTCCAGTTTTATGGAGCTCCTGTGATACTGCGCTGCGTGGAGGGTGGGTGCAGGGCACGGGGGTCGGGCTTCCACTGTGGAGGGGCCCGCAGGAGGTTCAGTTAACACCCGTCATCTCACAGAGAAAAATTCTCCTTGTGATGAGGGCTCGGGACTGTCCTCTTAACTTAGATACCCTACAGCAGTGTCAGCTACAGTTACCACGTTGTACATCACGTCCCTAATATTTATAACTGGGAATTTATATTTTTTGACTCTCCCACCCCTGCCTATGGTAACCACAAATCTGCTCACTTTTTCTATAAACTTGTTTTTGTTGCGTTTTTGTTTTTTTGGGGAGTTCCACACATGAGTGAGACCACATGGTATTTGTCTTTCTCGGTCTGATTTATTCCACTTAGCATAATGCCCTCAAGGTCCACCCAGGTGGTCGCCTGGGCGGGACTGCCTCCGTGTTCATGGCTGAGTGGTATTCCAGTGGCATACAGGCCACGACTGCTCCCCCACTAGTCGTCTCCCCGCCTTGGCTATTGTCGATAATGCTGCAGTGAACACGGGGGTGCAGATAGTCTTCTGAGTTGGTGGTTTCATTTTCTTCAGATAATCCCCAAAAGTGTAATTGCTGGGTCATGGGGTAGTTCTATTTTTAATTTTTTGAGGAACCTCAATACTGTTTTCCATAGTGGCTGCACCAATTTACAGTCCCGCCAGCAGTGTACAGTGTTTCCCTTTTCTCTGCATCATTCCCAGCATTTATCATCTTTTTGATGGCAGTCATTCTAACAGGCATGAGGTGATCTCACTGTGGTTCTGATTTGCATTTCCCTAATGATTAGTGATGAGCACATTTTTATGCACTGACTGTATATCTTCTGTGCAAAAGTATCTATTCAGGTCCTTTGCCCATTTTTTTAATTGGATGATAAGTTTTGCTACTGACTTGTATGAGTTCCTTATATGGTTTCCAAATATTTTCATTCCATAGGTCATGGTTTCCCTTCATTGGTTTCCTTTGCTGTGCAGAGGCTTTTTAGTTTGATGTAGTCCCACTTGTTAATTTTGTTGCTTGTGTTTTGGGTGTCATATCCAAAAAAATCATTACCAAGACCCAGGTCAAGGAGTGTTTTTTCTGTTTTCTTCTAGGAGTTTCATGATTTCAGGTCTTACATTTCAGTCCTCAATCCATTTTGAGTTCATTTTTGTGAGTGGTATAAGACAAGGGACTAGTTTTATTCTTTTACATGTAAATATCTAATTTTTCCAGTACCTTTTATTGAACAGACTGCCTTTTCTCCATGGAGTATTCTTGGGTCCCTTACTGACCATATATGAATGGGTTTATTTTGGGGCTCTTGATTCTGGTCCATTGGTCTACGGGTCTGTTTTTATGCCTCATGGTTTTGATTGCTATAGCTTTATAATACAGCTTGAAATCAGAAGTGTGATCTCGCTGCTTTGCTGTTCTTTCTTAGGACTGTTCTTTCTTTGGCTGTTCGGGGTCTTCTGTGGTTCCGTGCAAATTTTAGGATTTTTTTTTTCAACTGTAAAAAATACCGCTGGAGTCTTGATAGGGATTGCATTGACTATAGATAGATGGCTCTGCTAGTATTATTAATTCTAATAATTAAAAAGAGCACAAGATACCTTTTGATCATTTGTGTCTTAGATTTCTCTCATTAATGTCTCATGGTTTTCAGTGGAGAGCTCTTTCATCTCCTTGGTTAAACTTATTCTTAAGGATTGTTTTTGATGCTACTGTAAATTGGATCATTTCATTCCCTTTTCAGATAATTTGTTAGTGTGTAGAAATGTTACTGATTTTTACATGTTGATTTTGTATCCTGAAAATGTACTGAATTGGTTGATTAGATCTAACAGGTTTCTGGTGGCATCTTTAGGATTTTTTATATATAAAGTCATGGCATCTGCAAATATAAACAATTTTACGTCTTTCCCATCTGGTGTCTTTTATTTTCTTATATATTTCTTTATGTAGCCTGATTGTTCTGGCTAGGACTTCCAGTACTAGGTTAGGTGAGAGTGGGCATCCTTATTAGAGGAAAAGCTTTCAACTTCCACCACTGAGTATGAAACAGACTGTGGTCTTGTCACATACGGCCTTTATTATGCTGAGGTATGTTCCTTCTATACCTAATTTGTTGTTTTTATCACGAACAATTGTTGAATTCTGTCAAATAGATTTTCTAAATCTGTTGAGATGATAGCACTTTACTCTTAATTTTGTTAATGTGATGTATCACATCGGTTAATTTGCATATATTGAACCATCCTTACATCACAGGCATAAATCCCACTTGATCATGATGAATGATCCTTTTAACGTGCTTCTGAATTTGGTTTGCTAGTCTTTCATTGGAAATCTTTGCATCTATATGCATCAGAGATATCGGCCTGTACTTTTCTTATAGTATCTTTTCTAGCTTAGCTTGCAGAATAACGCCGGTCTTATAAAATGAATTTGGCAGTGTTCCCTCCTCTTTGATTCTTTGATATTAATTCTTCTTCAAATGTTTGGTAAATTCACCAGTGAAGCCATCTGCTATCTGGTCCTGGGCTTTTCTTCTTTGGGAGAGTTTTGATTACCGATTCATANCAATTCTTCAAATGTTTGGTAAATTCACCAGTGAAGCCATCTGCTCTCTGGTCCTGGGCTTTTCTTCTTTGGGAGAGTTTTGATTACCGATTCATAGTTTCTATTTCTTTCTGATTCAATGACTTTTTCTTAACAGCTGATAAAATCATATGATTTTTTTATCTTTTATATACTTTGAATGAGATGAATTACTAGTTATTCAATTTAAAATATATATCTTTGCTTTCCTGGAATAAATACTACTTGGTCATGATACATTGTTATTGGAATACTGATTCCATTTTCTGATCTTTTTGCATCTGTGTTACTAAGTGATAAAGGCATATAATTTTGTGTCTGCTCTTTCCGTATCAAACTAATAAGTTCATAAAATGATTTGGTATTTTTCTCTTTTCCTATACTCTAGACATTTTGTATAGAATGAGAATTCTCTCTTCCATGAAGGATTCACCCATAAAAATATTTTGGGCCTGGTGCGTATTGGGGGCAATGAGTAGCATTTTGATTTAAATTAATTTCATGGCTTTTTAATCCAGTTGGCTCTTCTGGTTCTTTGTGACCCAAATGTGGTCATCCCTAGTATCCATTTCACTAGTTTTTCATAATTGTTGTAAATGGGTCTATAGCAGTGGCTCTCAAAGTGTTCATCCAGGACCAGCAGCTGCAGCATCACCTGGAAACATCTCAGAAAAGCAGATCCCTGGGACTAACCCCAGAGCCACTGAATCAGAAACTGCCTTAATGAGCCTGCACGGAATTCTGACGCACTGAAGTGTGGGACTGCCAGGTTTACACAATCCTATACCTGAGGCCACGTCCCACTTCTAAGTGCATGATCGCATTCAAGCCTTTTATGTTGGCAAAGGTTTGTCTGCCTCAGCGTTTTCTGCTTTACTTTTAATCATTTCAGTTTGTGTTCCTAAAGTTTCCCGATTTGAAAATTTTGTTTTTTGGTTTTTATAAATGCATTTGAAACTATGACTGTTCCTCTAAGTTTCACTTCAGTTGCTTCCCTCCAGTTCTGGTACACACCGCCTACCTCTCAGTCTTCTCAGTGCTTTGTATATACTGTCTTTCACCTTCAACTAATTATTTTTAAAAACCCAGATGTACCGGTTTTCAGCAATCTTAGTTTTGACTTCTTCTTTTATTGTGTTGTGGCAAGTGAATTGGATCCGTGACGGTTTTTGAGATTGGTTGAGTCTTCTTTCTGGTATAATCTATGGCAAATACTTCATGTGTTTTTGAAAAGACTATGTTCTATGCCAATGCACAAGAATACATATATACTAATGCTAGTTAATCACACCATTCACTTCTTCTCTGTGTATACTTCTGCCTACTTGAACTGTAAGTTTCTAGAAGAGAGCTATATTTAAAATCTGATTATAAATACAATTCCTCCTTGCAGATTTGTTTTAAAGATATGGATATGCCAATCGACGACATTACATGGTAAAAGGAACATTTCAGCAAGATGATAGTGTCTTTATTTTTAGAATTCAAAGTGGTTGCTTCTGTCAGGTTTTAACATTGTTGAAACAATGACTCTTGACTCTCTTAATTTCAAGTTTCTGTGTTTTATATGTAACTTCAATCGATAGTCTCTGAGTGAGACCCATTCATATTTACTGTGATTACAGACAGGCTTGCCATTATTTTTACCACTCTAGTTTTCATTTCCCTCCTTTTGTTGACATGATTACATTTTCTGTATTCCATGTTTTTCTTCTGTAGGTTTATCTTGTTACCTTTAAATTTTCCACAGAGAAGCATAATTTTACTTATAGGATCTAAAGTTGATCTATGATTTCTTCATGAACAAATCAGAAGCTTAACATATTTTTACCACTTTTTCTCAGGTCCACCAACAGTCTGAAATCTTAAGTTCAGCTTGCTATCAGAACATTTTTATAGGTCCTATTTATGTAGATTTAGCCGCATGTCTTTTCTCGCAATTAACTGCTGTGGGATTATTTGTCTTCTGCAGAGTCTATCATTTGAGACGTCAGCAAGTCTGGGTCTGCGAAAATCTGTGTCAGCACCTTGAACATGCTCCTTGGGTAAGTTTATATTCTAGGCTCCAAGTGGTTTCCCCAGCACCCTGAAGATAGTACTTCCTTCAGTCGGTGTTGCTAAGCTGATTCTCATTTAACTGTAGTAATCTTTATTCATGACAGTTTTTGGTTTTTCTTAGGGTGTCTGATGACTGCTGATCTTCTGTGTGAGACTCTCCTGAGTAAGTAACACTGTCTACATCAACCATGAAGACAGGTTTCTGCTTACTACTGTGGTTTTCTACTCTGTAACTTTATTTCTGATTTTTAAAAAAAATAAGCATCTTTAAATTTACCTCTTGCTTGATGGTATGGACCCCAGAAAGAAGTGTGCCTTGGGAGGGAGAGATTTTTCTACTTGACCCTGGATTTGACCCCAGGTTCCAGTTGATTCTACGGATGACTCGGCAGCACTCAGCTCACCAGGCTCTTCCAGATCACGGAGGGGAGGGGCCCCCAGAAAACCATTCCTAAGTGGTGGGCAAGCCTGCTGCCCACACTCTAACTTAGGGGCTCAAACAGGGCACCACATCCCAAGTCTTCAGGGAGCAGCAGGAAGAAAAAGCAGGTACCTCAATAACCAAAAAACAGATTTGTGAACAGATTCTCAAACCACCTGCAAAGGGGAGCAGGGAGAGAGCTGGGGACCTGGGGCTCCTCCTCAAGCTGCAAGGGGGAAAACAGGCACTTAATAAACACCACTGGGCTGAGCCCCCAGGGTGGCAGGAAGCAGGAGCCGCTCTACATGGTACATAATGTAACATGATGAACGCTCCTGGAAGTCGGCANAACACCACTGGGCTGAGCCCCCAGGGTGGCAGGAAGCAGGAGCTGCTCTACATGGTACATAATGTAACATGATGAACGCTCCTGGAAGTCGGCAGTGATTGTAACTGATAGGAATGTGTTGTTGCCTGTTTTGTCTTAATTTTTTAACCAAAATGCCCCTGAATACAATTTATTATATTAGAAGATTTCATCATGTGAAAAGTAATTTGTGAGCAAATAAAATGGTGTTTTTATGACTCAGGCAGAGTAATCTCCTTATGTGGGGAGATGCGATATAAAGTAAGCTTTGAAACTAGGTGGGATTCATGGCTGGGCAGAAGAGCCAGGCAGGTCAAAGTCACAACTCTGGAGTTCTGAGCTGAACAGAGTGTAGTCAGGTGGGCAGAGTTTGAGGCAAGCCAGTGAAATAAGTAATTTTCAAAAGTCAAAGGAAGGAGGAGTGTGTACTTTATAAACTCTNAGTCAGGTGGGCAGAGTTTGAGGCAAGCCAGTGAAATAAGAAGTAATTTTCAAAAGTCAAAGGAAGGAGGAGTGTGTACTTTATAAACTCTGGCAATCTCTCCTAATACCTCAGACAGCCTCCATCTAAAAACTTGCCCATTTCCATCAAGTAAATAAACTGCAACGGCAGGGAAGCTACTTAGGGAACGCCCTGTTCCTGATGTTTAATAAGAATAGTTCTGAATTCCTGCTACAGCTATGCGGACTCCTTTTTGTCTAGCAAACAGAGAGGTTTACCAGCCTCCCGGGGACGGCCTGGGTGCTGCAGAGAGGATGCTGGGGAGCGACAAGGGCCCGCGCCAGGGAAACCCGCTCACACAGCCCCCCGCTTCCACCCCACCATCTGGACAGAGGTGAGAGGAGAAACGTGTCGTGTGCAGACCATGGAGCCTTACGCTCGCTTCCAGGGGTCATGGGAAACAGACATTCCCATCCACTCACGTCCTTGAGTCCTATCTCGCAGGCTCGGGGAAGGAGGGCTCATCTTCCCCCCTGAATGGACAGGAAATTCTGTCATTTTAGAGTCGGGAAGAACACGAAGGCTCCATTCAGTGGCTGGCTCAAAAGAGGCAGAGACTCGTGGAGCCCAAGGTCAGGGGGGAGACTCCACCCCCAAAGACTTGCCCACTAGCCCTGGGCCCCTCTCGCCAGCTCCCAGACACCGGCACAGCCCCAGCTGCCTGGAAGAGACCCGTGTGGGCCACAGTGAGGCGTTTCCTTCATCAAACACGGGTCCCTAAGTGCCAGCCATTGCTGTGCTCGATATTACGAGAGACATGATGGTTTAATCAGTGGTTTAAACGAGTGGCAAGAAGCCGTACTTACCCAACAGGCTCTTCCCCTTGCTCAGCTTCTGAATCCTGCTCATTTCATTCTGACAGGGGAGGCCTAGAACACAACACAGGGAAGTCAGTTTCCAGATGGTGCGGGAGACAGTCTCCAATGACTGGCTTCACTCTGACACGAAAGGCAGGCAATGGCACACCTGGGAGAGGAATGACTCCACACGCTGTGACTATGCAGCCAAACAAATTCAGGCCATTAGTGTTTCTAATTACAAAACTTACACCAGGAGGTACTTAAAATAGTATTTGGGGGCTCCTTGTATAGGAATTTTTCTCCCCACCACCATCTCAAGCAAACACCAGGTGTCTAATAGGCGATTTGCTAACAGGCTTTATACAAAGAAGTAAATAGTGAGCTGGGGACCAACACTTCCTATGCGGCATGTGTTCCGAGTCCATGGGCCAGCTGACCAGAGAGGACAGTACATCTACCCCAGGTCCTGCTGTAGGAGAGGAAGATGAGTGGAGGACCTCATGGTTTGCTACCCAGGAAAGTGAAGCACAGGCCCCAAAGGAGAGGTATGAAGATGCTCCAGCCATCTGGAGAGACAGTAAGGACAGCGCTCAGCCCTGCCGCTCGTAGCTGAGTACTTCGAGCATGTCTCTGTCTCCGAGCCTCGATTATAAAACACGCTGCTATGAACCAGCACAGGACCAGCAGTGGGAGCCACATGGCTAAGTGGGGCGTACGAAAGGGTGTCACACTCTTTTACCTCCCAGGACAACTTCCACTCACAGCAAGAAGAAAGACGACCTCACTAGCTCTCGAGACGTACCACGTCCCTGCCTTGCAGGTCCTGTGGCTCCGGGAGGCTCTGCTGTTGCCTATGGGCCTCCAGGCAAGGACGGGGCTCTGACGCTCAGGGCACTCACGCCACCTCCGTACACGCAAAGTGTGGGGCTGCACAGCGCACCTGAGCCCCTGTGCACATCCCTCACCCTGTGGGCTGCACAGTGCCACCTGCGCCTGCTGCTCATTCCTGGGCGACACTGGTTATATAACCAGTTTACTTCTGGGGTTAAGATACCCCTGAAAACAAGTTCCATCTGCAGTGATTAAAATTGGCATTTACCATGATAGATAATGAGAATTTACTGAATTCTTAGAATGTCCCCCAGTGTCCTAGAACTTGACATCGTCACTAGTTTAATCTTCAGGACAACCGCGTAAGGCAGGTGCGACCTCAGAGAAATGCAGAGCTCGAGGTGCTGAGGAGACTGGTCACAGTCACCCCTAGAAACTCGGTATCGGACCGTTCCCCCTCAGATTGTGCTACAGTGATTCTGGAAAAGTAAGGAAAAATAAATAGGACTGAGACCCGATAAACATCGCGGCAAGAGAAACAGGAAAGAACAAAACGAAACTCGAGCTGAATCCGTCACAGAGCAGGACGCTGCTGAGCAGGTGACAGTCGTTACCCCAGAAGGGAAGACAACTGGCATGGGCTCCCATTGCTCTGTAGTTACACCCGGTGCTAGGAGAAAGTTTCTTTCGTGATTTCTTTTTTTAAACAAACTCCAGGAAGTTTACACTTAGCCTCTTTGTTTTGGTCTACAGAACAGATTCCCCATAAGAATTTTGGGGTCTAAAACTCCAATTGAGCAATAAAACTAGAGAGACTATCAAAACCAGTTAACAGATCATCCTACCACGGGAAACGTTTAAAAGGACTAACAATTTTCTCCGGCCAAATAGGTCCTCGAAGACTTAATTGTAGAATTATCTACAAATTAGCCATAATAAAAATACCAGATAGCAACACCTATGGTCTATAGCTGAGGAAAGACTTTAGCCTCCAGTGCACACCTTAACAAACGGGATAATAAAATGTGACAGTAAAACGAAAATCCCAGAACTGGTTCTGGGTCAAGGATGGAGGCGGTGGAGACCTAACTGGAAATGAACGACCATGAAGGACGGTGCTCGCCTCTCCCTGCCCGTGGGCCCGCCATGAGGGGCCCTTGCGGAGACCCCCAGGCGCCCACCCTGAGGCTGAGCCTGAGCCTGGCCGAGGGCACGTGACAACATGCACTCGGGCCCTAACCTGTCATAAGCTTAACGCTGAACCACTACAAGCATTTCCATGGAAGTAAAAGCAGGGGTATTATTTAACACCGATTGCAGGTACTAGCAGCAGATGTGATGAGAAAAGAGCAAGGAGGAATAAAAATTGAGAAGGAAGACAGAAAATCATCGCTATTTGCAGATGGTCTGACTGAACAGCTGAGGAACCCAAGGAAGCCAACCAGAAAAACTACTTGCCCAAAATGAGAATTTAGTAAGGTGGCTGAGAACAAAATTAATATTGAAACCACCACGGGTGAGGCAATATGATGGTAAGTAACTGATTTCACTTACAGGGTAGTATAAGGTTTGTGAGAACAAAACTTGTGTCTCTCCTGGTTGACAGACAGATCCTGCTCTTGGACAAAATGATTCAATGTTCTCTAGCTATCAATTCTCTCTAGATTAATATCATTTTGCCTGATTCTAAAGAAAGAAACCAGTAAGAATTTTTTAATTGAATAAACTGATTCTAAAGCTTAAAAAGTTAAAATAGGAGACTATCCAGGATAATTCTGAAAAAAAGATTAATAGCAGAGGAAGTTGGCCTCACCAGATATTAAAACATTGTAAAACTGTAATTTAAACAGTTTAGAACTGATTTATGTATAGTTCACTTAATAGGACAATACTCAGGAAAAGACAGATACAGGGCAGAGGAAGCATTTCAAACTGGAGGGAGAAAGATGGGTTCGTCAATAAATGTCAGAAGAGCAACTGGACACCCATCTCCGGGTGTCGGGGTAGGGGCTGGGGCTGGGACCCCACTTGACCGTACATGAAAAACATCTAAAGTGATACAAAAGTTCAACAAACACGCAAAAAGAATCCCAAAAGGTAGTGAAGAAAAAACAAGAACTGCTTTACTGTCTTAAAATGGGAAATAACTCTCCAAGCTTAATAATGTAAGCTTTATGGCTTCTAGGAGGCCATAAAATAAAAGAAGAAATCTATCTTAAATCTGATTTCTCCCTGGCAAAAATACAGTCAAAGTTGGGGGAAAATATTTGCAGTACCTATGCGTACAACAGTCCTAATACCCTTAGAGAAAATTCCCATTTTTAAAAAACAACAAGAACCTAATAGAAGAAAACTAGAGAGCGTCTCAAACAAACACGAAGCTGTTCGACCGAAGTCATAATAGAGAAATGAAGCCTACGAGGAAATTCAATTTCTTGTCCTGCAATTTGAAAATGGCCACGAAGTTTGGCGAGCCAATGGAAAACAGGTCTTCCTGTGGATTTCTCATGAGGTAAAAATCGTTGCGACCTCTTTGGAGGGCAAAGTGGAAATGCTGCTCAACCTTAAACATGCGCATGCCCTCCTGACCAGTGCCTCTGCCTTTGGGGATGCACCTTACAAGTCCACAAACACTCGGGTGCACTTCTCTCTTAGTGTCCTTCTGATTCCTGTCTACATTCTCCGCTGTGTGTGTACTGAGTGTACACACACACACACACACACACACACACACTTAAAGCCCTTAAAGTTACTACTCTACCCATCTTCCTTTCCCAAGGCTGCGTCCTGACAGCCTGCTTTGGGTATGTTATCCTGGAGGCCTGACCTAGGCTGGACCAGATTTTTCTGGGGCTTGGGATCTTGCTGGTCCCGTGAGCTGTGGACCACCACACATGGGCACCCCACCCCCAGGACGCTGAGACCCCTCAGGGAGCCTCAGAGCTCCCACTGGATCCCTGAGCGTCTTCTAGTCCCTCCTCGTGCAGGCTCACTCTCCTGGCGTGTGTTACACCAGATACCCCTGTATTCTGTCCATGTATTCCTCCAGTCTCGCCTTCCTTCTTTCTTCAGTTAGCCAGTTTATTTAGAACCAAAATATCCAAATATCCTTGTCTAAGACACTCAGTATAAATGCTACTATCCTAGAAACCGACACATGGCTTTCTCTAAGGGGAACACAGAAGTCATGGGACAGTGATACTGATAGCTTATATTTGCACAGTGTTTGTCACAATGATCTTGGAAATTATGCGGCAAAGGTTTCCATGCCCATTTTACAGATGAAAAGGTTGAGGCACAATATAGTTAAGAGATTTTCCCCCAAAGGAATGAAATAACTGACTCCTTGATTATGCTCCTGGGTTTTCTAATATACCACTTCGCTAAAAATGGGAAGAAAATAGAAAAAAGAGCCTTTGGGCTTGCCAGTAAATGGGCCGACTGCTTTATTTTCTAGCTGCCTCCCCCTTCCTGCTGATGGGTCCGCCTCCCCAGTACACAGTTGTGCCCACGTGGCTGCCCTGGGCTCTGGCCCCACCTCCTGCCTTACCTCCAGGCTTCTGGAAGCAGTAGCACCACTCGTTGTTCGAGAGCTTGCCGTCCTTGAAGGAGTCACAGGAGTTAAAGAGAGGCTTGATGCAGGGCTCGTACTTGTCCACGTAGATGGCGTTGATCTCCGAGTGGTCAAGCAGCAGGTCATAGTTCATGTCCAGCTTGTTGAACATCCAGCCGAGGGAGTCCTTGCAGATGGGCAGGATGCTGGTGTCAAACCCTGCGAGGGAAGGCGGGTGTCGGCGGCCACAGCCTGCTTGCTCCTGCCCAGGAGGAGGCCGTGCCACTCTGCTAGAATATGTTGGTGCTGGGGGTTTTTAAGTGAAACAATTTAAAATGCACAGAAACAGAAGTCAGCATTTAAGGAAAATGTGTTTAGCAGGCACAAATCCCCAGTGCTAATTTATCTGTGATGTAAGTAGGGGTTTTCATTTACTAGACTTGCTTGAAACAGGGTATATGCCTGCAAGGAATGGGATGCACATGGAGAGTAAGAGGACTGATGACAATACTGCAAACTGCTTTGATAGTTAGGAAAAAGCAGAGCAGAGGAACTACTGTGACAAGGCAGTAAAATGCGGCTGCATGGCGCAGTCGGGCAGCCCTGATTACCCCCCACAGCAGCCTGAACATTAATGGGAAATATGCCAGGTACCTGCCGCCTCGGTTCCCATGCCCCTTTTCTGCTCTCCCCTCGAGAGGTACATGATACGGAATCCAAACAGACTCAGACAATAATTTCTCAATTATTTCCCTGGGGGAAGAGGGGTCATTTTTTTTTAAAGAAATACTTGTTATCGCAATGGAAACTGTATGCACTCAAATAATAACACTTTGCTTACCACTTGGGGTAGTGAGTGTACCATAGCCAAATGCCAGAGAAGGGATGCCCCAAACCTGATTCGTCTATGCCCCAATCTAGCTCATCTTTCAGAGCCAAAAGCACTGTGCGATTTCAAGTCATTCCACAAGCTGGATTTCTAGGACTGGTTTTATCTTCCCGGAAAAATGGTGATGAAGGCCTCACTTTTGTCTTGCTTAAGGCACGCTTCTAGGTGCCGCATACTTCATCAGCTCACGGAATCCTTGCCCAGGCCTGTGAAATGATGGCGTATCCTCTCCACTTTACAGATGAAAAAATGCAAGTGCAAAGTCATACAATTGTGGAGCTGAGATTCAAACCCAGGCGGCCCAATCCTGAGTCTACGCTCCCCTCCCGGGGCTGCCCCTTCGTCGCAGGACCCTCCTGTCCTGGGGACATCCAGCTGGCGAGGGAGCCACATTTGGGGATGGGCAAGGCAAGACAGGTGGGGGAATACAGTGGCGGCTCTGAAGGGTCCTGATGGGGTTGGTTGCCCCACCCACATCCTGGTCATTGGGCTTCTATGTACATCATCGGGAACCCCTGCTTAGTGTGATAAAAGCTAGAGCAAAACATGCCCACCCTTTTTAAAGCACTGTAGTGACCAAAGGGTCTTCACTATTCAGAAGCCAGTAAAACAAGCATAGGGCCTCCCCCTCTGAGCTCTGGTGGAACCCTGGGTTTCCCCTCATTGCAAATGCCCATTAATTAGACTCTAAGCTCCTAGAGGGCAAAAGACTGTCATTCCCTTCAGTAGCCTGAGCTGGGACTGGCACATAGTAAGCACTCAATAAAAGTATTTGTTGAGAGACATTTTCTAGCTACTGCAGAGTTTACCCCTTAAAACAAAAATCTGTCCATTTTTAAATTTATTCCTTTCGATATCTCAGAACACCCCTTTTTCAAGAGAGAAACTGTGGGACACAAGGTGGCCTCTTACTTAACCAAGGTCATGACTGAACAATCTCTGGGGTGGTGTCCTCAGAGGCCACTAAGCACAGGACGATAATTTACTCTGACACTAAAGGGCTCCACATTTTCTGTATAGAATATTTTATGCATCGATTTCATAGGATATTAACATTTCAGTACATGGGGAGGAGGAGCTTACTGCTGACTGACTACCAAAATGAAGTGCCACGCTGTTGGCAGTAGTCTAAAGGTCAAGCCCACTTCACACCTAGTTGGAAGGTTCTAGAAAAGCAGCACCTGCACCTGACATCTAGGGGTGGAGGAGAGGAGAGGAGAGCAGAGCAGCCTTCTAATGGCCTGAGCGTATGGGGCATCTAGGGCTCTGTGGTTCCCTGTTCACAACTCCTGGGCTGACAAAGTCTCTGCCGCCTCTGGCCTCCAAGCCTCACTCTGTAGCTTCACTCCAGCTGCTTCAGGACATCAAATGGAAGCCTCTTGGGGCTCAATCTGCTTCCGGCCAAGGGCAGGTCCTCCCCAGGCTCCCCAGCTGTCTGCAGGAGGGTCCCTGGGGACTGGAGGCTGCAAGGAGCAGCTCCCTGCCCAATAATGTGCTCTTTGTTGAAAGGCTGTTCAGAAAGCCCAGGGCCCAGCTGCTCCTGGAGGACCCCAGGGAGAAGTTTCTCCAGACCATCTAGGAATTAACTGTCCACAGGCTCCCAAGGAAGCCCCAGCAGGAATAAAAATAAAGCATCTTAGTTCCCTTTCCTCCCAGACACTCCCACTCTTTGCACACTTACATTCTAGGAAGCGAACATTATCTTTTCCTTACGGTAGAAGATCCAAACTAGTGAAAGAACTGTCCCCATATCCACGTTCCCTGCCGCCATCTGTGGCTCAGACAGCAAAGAATGACCAAGGGGCTTGTTCTTATTTTGGCTGAAGATCTGATGCTGGTTAAACTCTGGACCCCAACAGTTACCAAGCCCCATGTCCTTGACTAATTGTGTCGCTGACTGATCCACTCTGTGCTAACTGGCCATGGTGTGGAGAAGCCAACCCCTAACCCCTGAGACAAAGGCATCGAGAGACTCCGTCCAAGTACAAATATGAGGACCCCTTCTGAGTTTTCAGCTTATGAAGAGGCTCTGAGTGTGGGCTCTGCCAATTCAGTGATGGGGGTGAGGGACACTTACCTGCGAGTTTCTATGGAAACAAAATGCAACCCAACTAATGTTCACAAAGACATATTATCAAAGATGTTGGCTGCAATGTTTAAAATAGCTAAACATTAGGACCGACTTCAGGCCCCAAGATAAAGGTCTGCAACGATTATGTTATATCCATGAATTGGGATTCTCTGTGGCTATTACAAAGCAGAATACCACTCAGAGCACAGAAGGCAGCCGCAGCACATTGCTGATGATAACAGGAGGTCCTAAAACAGTCTGCAGTGTGAGATACACACACAGTTTTCTATATGACAAGGAAAAAGCGTATACCACAACACGCTTAACAGTTGTTAAAATGGTGGGTTTATAGCCCAGCCGATGTGGCTCAGTTGGTTGAGGGTCAACCTGTGAACCAGGAGGTCATGGTTCGATTCCTGGTCAGGGCACATGCCCGGGTTGCAGGCTCGATCTCCAGCAGGAGGCAGCCGATCAATGACTCTGTCTCATCATTTAAAATGTTGGATTTATAGACTTTCTGTATTTTTATACATATTTTATGTATTTTCCAAAATGTATATACTAAACATGATAATTTTGCAACCACACTTTACAAAAATACAGTTCACCCTTGGACAATGAGGGGGTTAGAGGCACTGACCACCTGCAAAGTCGAAAATCTGCAAGTAACTTAAGTTGGCCCTCTGCAAACTCAGATTCCCCACCACAGATCCAAAATACGTATAACTGTTGTACTGTCTTGACTGTAAGGCATCTTCCCTCCTCTCTATTTTACTATTTCTGAAATTGGGACATATTTGAAGTCAGAGTGTATATTTAATGTCAAGTATCTTTGTTCACCCCAAAAGGCTACTGGTAATTCCGCAATGTTTGATAACTGAGACAACGCTGCGTTTTAAATGAAATCAATGGGCCGGAGCCGCGCGGTCTTACTGCCAGGGGCGGCGGGGCTGGTGGGCTTGATGACCCTGCTGGCGTCCTCGTGAAGGGCCCCGAACCAGTCCTTCAGCCGGGAGGCGAGGTTCCTCAGCTCCTTGTCCGCGCAGGCTGCAGGGAAGCAGAGGGGAGGCCGTGAGTCCCTGGGCTGCCTCAGCCCGGCCCTGGGCCCCCGGCGGGCCGCGTCACTCGGGACCCACCCTGGGCTGCCTCGAGCTGGCAGAGCAAGTCAGCAGGGGCTCACCGGCTCAAAGACTGTCACCGGCGCCTCTCGCTAGCCCAATGACATGCGCTCTTGCACTCTGCCAGAGATGATCACATTTGCCACTCAACTCATGCCCAGAGGTTAACACTCAGGAATAGCTAATGCGCTTAGGGAGGGCCTTCCTGGGACGCCAGGTCCCGGGAATCGCAGGCTCGATTTTGTTTCAGCCCAAGGTTCGGGTTTGGGGGGATGGGTTGTTTGGCCAGCCCTCTGACAGACCCACTTCACTTTCCCCCATAGACACATGGGTGCCGTCTCCATGGGAGAGTCCTTTCTGTCTGCAACCAGTCTGTACCTTTCCAGCTCATCTTTCAGGAAGGACAGAGCAATGGGGGTCAAGGACTATGCCTTCTGAGAACAAGAACACAATCTGGGTGGGGGGGGGTGCAGGCTATCTGAAGGTCTCGTGAGGTGCTGAGATAAAACTTGAGGGAGGAAATCCCAAAGGAGGGACCACAGTACCGAGAAGCGAGCTGATGGTCCCTGGCTCCCTGATTTTACCCTGATTCTGGGCACTGAGAGTCTTGACAAGGGGGCCAGGCAGTGACGGGCTACCAAGATGCAGCAACGGACTTAGTGACCTTTAGCACCAGGAGGGACGGAAATTAGAGACCCAAGGGGCCAAAATCCCAACAAGTAAGAAGGGACAAAGAAATGAACCCTATAATTGTCATTTTCCCCAGATTCTAAACTATAGGAGACAGGCTGTGAAGAAGCCCAACAAACAGTTACAACGCAGCCCGGTCCCGAGTGTCTCCTGGTGTGGACAGGACACAGACTGAAGCTGGACTCGACCTGTGCAGAGACCCCAGCTGACACCCCAGGCTCTCCGCTGCAAGGCATGGGGGCAGTGCTCAGTGAGCAGATTGGCCAAGCTCCAGCCTCGCCTTTGGTGAGTGCAGGCTCTCACCAGATTGAGGTATTAGCCCCCAGTTGCCCCGCAAAGGGCAGGATGAATCCTCTCATTCTTACAATCTGAGTCTGCTTCCAGGGAAGCCCATCTTTCCTTAGCCCTGGGGCTCGGTGGAGAACAGAGCCAAACTTCACAGACCTCGGGCAGGAAAGGTCTCCCCCACCCTCCATTTGAGGGCAGGTGAGGAGACCCAGGCCGGGGCTCTGCAAGCTCAGCCCTGTCTTCTAACAGCTGCTTTCACTCCAGCCAGGATCCAGATCCAAACTCTACAAAGCATGGAGTGGCTGTGTGGCCACTGTTTAGACCCAGGTGGTTAGTGACCTCAAGACATGGCCTTATGGGTACATGGGACAGACTGACAGCTGTCAGAGGGGAGGGGGTGGGAGACTGGATGAAAGAAGGTGAAGGGATTAAGCAAAACCCCCACATATATACATAAGACACAGACACAGACAGCAGTGTGGTGACTGCCAGAGGGAAAGGGGGGTGGGAGGTAGGTGGAGGTAGGCAAAGGGGGGGACATGGGGACAGAAAGAGACTTTGGGGTGATGGTTGCACGGTGCAGTGAGCAGATGTTTGCTGAGTTGTACAATTGAAACCTGTATGGTTTTGCAAACCCATGTCATCCCAATAAATTCAATTTCAAAAAATTATTATACATATATATATATGTGACACAGCCTTGCTTTCAACATGGCTGTACCTGACTGTACCTGAAAACGCCAGCCAGGATAGGCCCTGAAAGCCGACCGACAGGCAGCAGGGCGACAGCTCCAGGCCCACACTGCCTGGACTGACTGGGGACGCAACAAGTCGTGAACCTCTCAGAGACTCAGTCTCCTCACCTGTAAACTCCGGACATCGCATATGGCAAACATTAGAAAAGGCATGCAAGCGCTTAGCAAAGCACTTGGATGTAGAGGTTACTCAGCACCCGCCAGCTGTGAGCTTCATTAACACTACAATCATTACTTTTGGTTTTAAATTGAGCTTTACAGGTAAGCCTAGAGTAACCATCACAGCCTTCAGAAAACCAGTAGGACAAACACACCTAAGCAGGACTGGCTTTGGCCACACAGGACTTAGCTGGAAATGCACCTGTGCTGCCCACTACAGCTGCCATTAGCCATATGTGGCTATTTACATTTAAATTAATGGAAGTTAAATACAAATAAAATTTAGTTCCTCAGCTGCCCCCACCCCGCTGCAAGTGCTCCATAGTCCCGCATTGCTCGAGACTCCATGTGGGGAGCACAAATGGAGGTTTGCACCGTGGCAGGATGTTGCTCAGGATAGTGCTGAACATCGTTGGCCATCCCTGGGGGATGTCCAGCTTTCGGGGGCTCACACCATGTCCTGACATCCTGGGTCCTGCCTCCACTCCTTCCCTCAGTCTTTACAGATGGGCTGGGAGACCACAAGCCTGCTCCAGCCAGAAACCAGCATTTCATACCCAGCCACACGCACACATAGGAGGGACAGGTGGCTTCTTGAGGGCTGGGACTCAAGGCCTTGCCTGGGTCCCAGAACCTGCTTCAGGAGCAGGCCAACACTAATAAGTGTACTGACGCGACTCAAAACCTCCTGAGGGTAGAGCGCCCCCTTTTCTGTCTCTTCAGATGCTGCACAGCTCTAAGCAGAGAGGATGTGGCCTTTTCCTGAGGGAACGGGATGTGGACTCTATAGCCAGTCTCAATTTGAAAATGAAAAATTAATAGCATCCATTGCTTCCCGATTGCCATGCACACCATCTATTCTCAACATTCTCCAGGCAGAGAAAATTGCCAAGTCAACTGGCAAAGGAAACGAGTTCCCCATCTCCCTGCAGGATGAATCAGTCCATCATGTTTAACTGAGGCCACTGGCATGCAGGTCTCTACAGCGTAGGAGACTGCTGAGTTGCCCACAGCTGCCCACAGGCCGGGGTAGGCGGGGGGANCCTACAGCATAGGAGACTGCTGAGTTGCCCACAGCTGCCCACAGGCCGGGGATGGCGGGGGGAGCGGGCACTGCCCTCCTGAAAGAGCGAGCCTGTCACCCAGGGAGAAGTCCACACAGGAAGCCACTGCTCAGGTGGGGAGAGACCAGAAAGCCAAACTGGAGACAAGTGGAGACGGGCGCAGTCGGTTACGGGGCTGTGCACTCCTGGTGACCTCCACCCAAAGGTCCTGATGAGAACATCAGGCACAGTCACCTAGATCCAGACACAGCCAAAGACGACAATGAAGAGGACAGACGGCCTGCAGAGAGCAAGTTGTTCAGACTCAGGGTCCTAGCCACAACAGACACACTGGCAGTGGGAGGAAAATGCTTGCCTTTTAAGGTGCCTATTACAGCNGGGTCCTAGCCACAACAGACAGACTGGCAGTGGGAGCAAAATGCTTGCCTTTTAAGGTGCCTATTACAGCCCCCGCTGGGGTATGGACTGAGGAGCAGGGCTTTCAGAAAGGGACCCCCAGGGTACATCCCACACTCAGTGCCATCCCGGAGAAAAGTGATCTTTGTGGGGAGAAAACTGAAACCACAGCCTCCTGCAGGCTCGCACTCTGTCCTGCGGTCCTCCTGGAGGACTTCCCTAACCCTCTAACTAGGTGAGTTTCCTGTTTTGTTTTTTTCAATCCTCACCCAAGGATATGCTTTTAAAATTGATTTTTAGAAAGAAGGGAAGAGGGAGAGAGAGAGACATCGATGTGAGAGAGAAACGTTGATTGGTTGCCTCCCATATGCACCCCACCTGAGAATCAAACCCTCAACCTTTTGGCGTATGGGACAGTGCTCCAACCAGCCGCGCTACCAGCCAGGAGGAGTTTTCCTCTTTATATGCTTCCAACGCCTTGCTGNGCGCTACCAGCCAGGATGAGTTTTCCTCTTTATATGCTTCCAACGCCTTGCTGCTTGGATGGCCTGCGCCACACCAGTAACTGACTCCTCACCCCATATCCGCCCGTCTGCCCCTCTAGACCACACAACCCAAAACACACCCACGTCTGGCTCAGCCACGGGGCCCAGCATTTCACATGGTTGATCCCGGCATGAAGAATGCTCAGGACGCATACGCATGACCTGAGAATAATAACCCTCTTGTTGCCTTTTGGGAACTTCAATTTGGCCATCTGCAGAATGGCGTCATAATGCTTAGCTCCAGCCTGCCTGTGTGGAATAAGGTAAGACATAAATGCATGTCCCTCTTCTGCATACACAATATATTAGAACTTTATCGTTGTTTTTAAACCTGAGGAGATGCTTGTGATGTAAAGAATAAGCTCTCTCCTTTCCTTATCTTGAAGATGGGACAGAAGTCCAGGAGACTCAGGCTGCAGTAGACATCTGCCCTCCTCTCCCAAGTGGAAAAGCGCTGTGACAGGAGGAATTGGTCCGACTTCCCCACACCTATATTCTCAGCACCTACCATCAGGGTGGGTACATGGTGGTTGTTCAAAGTATATGTTTGAAAGAAACCATGAAAGAAAGAGCACACTGATTACACACTCCTGAGCCCATGAGCCATCTAGTGGCAGAGACGGGATCTGGACCAGGCCGTTATCTTGCTGGGCCCTCCCTGGCTGCTAGAGAATATCTTCTTGCATAGACTGGCTTGTGGGGAGCCAGTACCACTGAGGCAATTAAAATACTAGGTGCATATCCTGAGTTGAAAAAAAATCAAATCATCAGGCCCTCACATGTAAAGGAAGTTCAGCCAGTGACGCGGGGAGGCAGTTAATTGGGCATTAGGACAGATCAAGGGATGGGGCAGTCAGGCCCCCGCCTCCATCAGCTTCGGTGTGAGAGCGGCACTCCCCCCAGAGGACCCCTGCAGCCTGCCTCCTTCCTGTGGCTCCCCGAGCACGTACCACGCGTGTGACCGTGGGGACTGCATTAGAGAAAGTGGAGCCCACGGCTCATAACTCCAAAGTGTGCCAAAGCAGCTCCCTT